CGCAAATCAAAAAATTTTATTATCAAAATGCCCGATTCTTCCAATTAAAAATGTCAGTGTCAAATTTCCATGAAATAATCTTCAAACATTAATTGATATGGACCGTACTATCAATTCAGATATAGATTTCAGAAGACCTCGTGGAATATGTTTTAGGTCTTCTCTAGCTAGAAGTCCTTCAGCGTCTTGTGAATAGAGGGAATACCTTCTAAAGCTTTTCTACGGAGAACGCCATTTTCCTTTGAGGAATCATAATAGATTGCGTAACTTTCAAGGACAGAATAGTCTTTAGAAGTGTTTTATAGGTGTTTATAGATGTTGAAAATGGAATAATACCTTCTAATGGCCTTCTGTATGTAGAAGAGATCTTTCATGGATAGAATGCTCTCTTGAAGTCTTCTAGAAAAAAAATTCTAGGGATTTTCTATAGCTATAAGAATTTCTTAACAGATCAAATACGGCCACAGCATCAACCGGGAAAATTCCTTCTCAAAAGCAATGAAGACCTTCATGTCTTTAGATGAACTTCTGCAGATTTCCTCCTAGATGACTTTAATAAGCAGATGACCGTTTAGAAGTGTTCCAATTATAGAATAATTTATACAGGCTTTTACATGCCCTGCAAAAAAGGTCTATTTTTGGTGAAGTCCAAATCCTTCCAGAAATCTGTTAAAAATATTGATAATTTCAGATGTCTTTTATAGATCTCCTATAGACTAAAGACTGCTCTGCACCTATAGATTATCTTGTGGAAATCTTAGAATACAGCTTTTTTCCTTTTTTAACTTTCCATTTCATCTAATCAAATCATGATCAGGTTCTAGATAACTGATCTTATCTTAATGCCAATAAATGTTAGTCACTTTCACCCACTTTTTTATAGACAAACAAACAGTGAGTGTCAGTGATCTTGTACTTCATCCCAGGTGAGACAGACGTTCACAAATCAAGCGAAATACCAGAACGTAATCACACCTAAATAGATGGTAATCAGATATTCAAACATTCGTGAGATCCAGTAAACAACGGTTTATTATTCTCCATAAGTAGGCGAAATAAATCCATAAAAAATAAAAATTATAAGATTTTTTTTATTGTATTTACTTTTGTATTAATCCTCTCATAGTTATTTACGGTTTACAGTAGCCGGGAATGAGAGGAATCCTCATAGGAAAGCAGTGGTGCATGGTTCAAAAAATTTCCAAATGCAAAGATTTGTAATTAGCAACTTAATGATGTATCATTTTGGTATGTATGTATGTATATACATATGTATGTATGTATTTAGTGTATATTTAACACTCCTTTATCACCATACCCTCCCACCATTTCAAAGCTGAGTCAGAATAGAGCTCCTCTTCGCTATCGCCATAGCTGATGCGGAACATGACGACACTGTTGTTTCTATTTGCAAATTTACATTTTTTTCTGAAAGTGTCCGAATGGCTGGATATCTGAAATGAACAATGAACGAATGTATGTATGTATACAACCAAATGGTAAATATGTCATTAAGTGTTGTAACTGTTTTAAAAAACAGTTTGTTGACCAAACAAAAATAGGTGGGTATCAGGTTTATTTTATTTTATTTTTCTCATTTGGTATTCATTTCAATGCAAATGGACATCACACAATTAATGTTAATAGGGCCGCTATCCTGTTTAAGGACATGGTGGGTGGAAGGGAAATAGGAAGATGTATCATCAAATTCTAAAAAAGGGAAATCATACAGAGAAACCAGTAAGGAAAATACAAAAGTCGGGCGGGGCCGACTATATGATACCCTACACCACTATGCATATTTAGTAGAGCACTCGTAACAAAAGATTTTATTTTAAGTAGATCATACCACCTATCAACCTTTGGCTTTAGGGCAGTTATAATTTGGTTTCGGAGGAAACTAATATATGGGAGGCATATCCAATTCTCAATCGATTTTCACTACATTTGACGGAGATATTTTATCGTTCTATACCAAATAACATTGATATATGATATCACTTCGAAAAGAATTGTATTAATCGGAGCCGAGTTCCACCAAATGGAAACGTACGTCCCGAAATTCACTCCATTTGGGCTGATATTAGCCATTATTTGCACAATAAATGTGAAATAGCAATAAGGATATATATGGGAGCTATATATCCAAATCTTAGCCGATCTCCATAAAATTTGGCAAAGGTATTTTCGAGCTCTATAAGATATCTGGTACCAAATATCATTTTTGTCGAATACATATTACAAATGTGAGGGATGAAACATGTATATAGGAGCTATAGCTATCTCTGAACCGATTTTCACCAAATTTGATGTACTTCCCTCTAGACTGAATTTGGTCGGATTTAAGTCATTTGGACTGATATTTGCCATTTGGTGTACAATTAACCCAAAATCGGTTGAAGATATATATGGGAATTATATCCAAATCTGGACCGATCTTGATACACTTTGGCAGAGGTATTTCTGGGCTGTATCCGATATCTGGTACCAAATAGCATTCTTGTGGAGGGACACAAACACCAAATCGGATGAAACATAGAGGGTGAGATAAAAAAAAACTCCAACAAAGTCAAACGCCATAATTTTTACATTTTTTTTTTCAAATTTCATTGACAAATTCGGAAATATCCTCAAATTTTAGAATAGGTTTAGATTTGTTCCAATTTGTCACCTCTGGCACGAATTATGGCCTTCAAACAGCCAATGAAACTATCACACGCTGCCCGAATGTTGCTCTGCGGTATTTTGGCCCATTCCCGGCGAAGCGCTTGCTTGAGGAGACCGACACTTTGGTATTTTTTAGTGCCAACCTTGCTTTCCAAAATACTCCAGACACAATAGTGTAACCGATTGGTATCCGGAGATTTTGGTGGCCATTGTGCGCTGAAAATGAAGCGAGGAAACTCATTTTGTAACCATTCTTGGGTGGCGCATGGCGAGTGCGATGTCTAAGGTCTGCGGCCAAAATGATTGCGTGCCCAAGGCTTTAATACACCCTCCAGAACATTTTCGCGATTCGGCATTTATTCTGATGCCACGAGCGGAGAACGACCATCGGCTGTTATGGCAGCCCACACCATCACCAAGGCCAGCGCTTGAGTTCGGGTGGCCAAGCGAAGGTGCACATTTTCACTTTTTCAGCTGACCTCTTTGCCATGTAAACACGATCATTTTGTTTGTTTACAAACAGCTGGACAACAAATGTTTTCTCATCGGCGAAACCCAAATTCGGCAGTTCACCACTTTCGGCCAAGCGAAGCAACTCTTTAGCTGTTTTGGGTCTATTTTCTTTCTGTTGCGGTGTGAGTTCGTTCGCTTTTTGGAATTTCAATGGCATTACTCGGAGCTCATTTTTCAATATTTGCCAAATGGAGTATTGGGATATGTTCAGATCATGAGCCATTTTTCGGCCACTGCGAAGCGGGTTTCGATCAAATCACTTCTATACTTTTCGAACCATTTCTGCTGATGTTGCTGCTTCCTCCACTTCCTTGACATCGGGCTACGCTACCAGTATCACGGTAACGAGCGATGGTACGAGACACAAAAGAGTTATTCACATTTAAATGCTGGATTGCTCGAACGATAGCCACTTGTGGTTTTCCAGCCAAATATAAGGAAATCACACTATCACGCTTGAATTCCATCACGAATAACATATTTTCTGGAAAATTTTCACCAAAATGCTTTTGTACGCTTGTAAACAATATAATGAGCTGTCACTGGGATAATTTTAACAGCTGTCGGACGAGTGGCTTAGAAATGACAACAGTCTGAAGTTGGTTGCAGTTTTTTCATCTCATAGCGGATTTCCTTATTTTCCAAAAATTTCCACATATCTCATATAAAGTATAGGAAGTAGTCGATATAGTCCAAATCTGGCAAATCTGTCTTAAGTCAGATACGAATTGCTCAATATTGGCCAACTGCTTTGGAACCTCCCCAAAAAAGGGTCTATCACACTTGCGTTTACTTTTTTCTTCAAATGTCTGTACTACAATTTTAACCATAACTGTCTTTTTGCAGCACATGAATAACCTTGCAATCGAATTTGTGTTTTAAACCATTCTTCCGTTTCCCCACAATTCGTAAACAAATCAGAAATCGATAAAACGAAAAAAAAAAACGAAATCCCTTTTATTTTTAGAAGGCCTGACTGATTGTTTGGCGTGGTCAAGGTTTGAGGGTTTTCAGGTTTTCAGTGAACGCCGTAAAACAATTATTTCGCTGGAGCTGTTGTTTTGCTTTGCACAATCTTTATGACTAATTTTTAATTTTTACAATTTGATAGAGAATTTTTTTTTTTTCAGTTGAAAACAATGCCAATAACTAATCAGACACTAAAACAATGTCACTGAGGTTATCGGTGCTAAGAATTAAAAACAATCGATTTCGGTAAACGCGCGAATTATTAGGAGCCATAACAAAAGGAAAACAATTAAACAATTTCAAATCGTTAATTTTATAACTTTCTAATTTTAAATGGCTTAAACAACCAACCGGCAGTTATAAAGTATGCAGGCAAAAATAACAACAAACATTGACAATTAAAAAACACACGTGAGTTCTTCACTCGTCGTAGGCAGCCATTCACCAAATCAAGTTCTTCCCCACTCACTGGGCATTGATAGCTTTATCCCTTGACATTTTTTTCTTTTTTTTTTCTAAATCGGTAACTTTCCCAAAATAAGTGGTCATACCGGTTTCCACTACTCAAAAAAACATATCTTTCAAACTTTTACTTGTTGTTGTTGTTGCTGCTTGTTGTTTTGTATAAACGTTTTAAGCCACACTTATACGCGAGCGCAACTTGGTGATGACGTTAGAATTCTAGCGAACATGGTCAGATAATTAACATATGTATGCTTGTCAATGACACATTGACAATTTATAATGACACATTTTAATTTTTTGAATAAGTATATATAAATATATATATATATATATATATTTTTGTTTTTTTTTTTTTGACATTAAAATTTATTTTCAATTTTTCTTACTTTTTTCTTTTTTATTTAGAAATTAATTAAAAAAACACTTCTTCTTATATTAACACTGCTTATTTTAGTCGGTTTAAAACGGATATGTCCAACGGCCGCCGTATGACTGCTGATTATATTCTCCTTCGATAAATCCCGTAATAAAGACGACAATCCGATCCGTTTCCGTTAAAACTTCGCTCACAACTGAAACGTTTAGCTGAGGCGATCATAACGTAAACCCCTCACAATAAATAATGCAAAAGAACTTGCTTTTGTTGTTACTGTCTGGCAGGGATGATAATGACGGGTAAAGTGTGCGGCCCGCGATGAGGGCCTTTTATCTTAAGTACATACCATGGTAGACGTATCGACACAGCTGCTGGGACAATGAACTGTGAAACCAATTTTGGAATTGAAAATGTTGAATGAAAAATTATTTAATTTTATAAAACTTTTTAAAAAGATCGAATTATAATAAACTCCGAATGACGTCGTATAAGAAAACATTTAAAAATCTACTCATATTTGAAAAAAACATTTAAAATTTTTTGACATATCAATGCTCCCAAGCGTTGATAACACCAAAATTGAACTAAATAGGAACTGTGGGAACTAGTATTAAGAAGAATAAAGGTAGATGCATCAACGCTTGGGAGCATGGCAGAAGAATACAGGCATCAACGCTTGGGAGCATTGATATGTCAAAAAATTTTAAATGTTTTTTTTTTCAAATATGAGTAGATTTTTAAATGTTTTCTTATACGACGTCATTCGGAGGTTATTATAATTCGAGTGTCTTAACAATTTTTACATAATTTTTCATTCAACTTTTTCAATTCCAAAAATGGTTTGACAGTTCATTGTCCCAGCAGCTGTGTCGATGCGTCTACCTATATTCTTCTACCATGGAAGAACATATGGATGACGGGCTGTGTACCTAAACCTCAATTAGACGTTTTACGAAAACACGTCATTTATTTGGCAATTATACGTCAAGGAATCGATAACCAAAATTCATAATATATGAAGCCATGTTGTAAAAATAGGCTTTAGCCATTCATGTAGAAAATGTTCAGTGTAAAGGTGAAATGTTCAGTAAAAGGCTTTTTTGACTGGCTTCTTGGGGTAATAACAAAGCATAGAGTCAAAATCGAGTTAAGTGAAACTAAAACTTCTTTGTTTCTTTTCGAGGAAGACAGCCGATAACTTAAACCAGTCAAAAAGTCACCTTAATTGTGAAAATACGTAAACAGCTTGACATTTTGACATGCCATATAATGCCAAATTACAAGGGGAACCTAGGGCAGGATTCGAGTTCCATGATGCCAAGCTGTTTTTTTTTTTTCATAAACTTAAAGGTGAGAGTACATAAAAGGCTTTTTTTACTGGCTTAGGTCATGAGCTTGTCTTTTGTATGTCACTAGTGTAAAAAATCTGTAATCTGTAAATCTTGAATACCCTCCACCACTTGGAACGAATTTGGCAAACTTTGGAAAAAATACAATCCGTTAAAAATTCTGTTAAAATCTCTAAAATACCAAACGTAGCTTATATATTAGGGTCTATACGGCCACGTGGACCTGCATAGGCAACTTTTGTCAGAAGCAATTACAATATTCAAATGCGAAACTTGAAAAAAAAGGTGAATAATGTAGCTAAAATCTTCGAAATACAGAATATAAGGTGGTACTATTATATGGGGCTATACGAAGACATGGACCTGCACAGACAATTTTCTGTCTTAGGCTGTAGTATCCATTTCGAACTTCAAATGCCAAATTTGGAACAATTCCGGTGAATAATGTCGATAAATTCATCAAAATACCGAATATCGGGAGGTACCGTTATATGGGGACTATACGAAGACGTGGACTACATGGACCATTTTCAATACCAAAAGTCCTGCAGACATAATATACATTTGAGTAAAATTTTATCAGTCCACTTCATTTTGTTCGGAAGCTAGAGTGATTTCCACAGACGGACGGACTGCGCTAAATCGTCATAAAATTTTAAATTAAATTAAACTTTGTGGGGTCTAAAATGTATATTTCAAGGTGTTACAAACAGAATGACAAACTTAATATATCCTCCATACTATAGTGGAGGGCATAATAATTTGACCAAAAAAGCCCGATAAAACTCTCTGCTAAATATTTTTAATTTTGTAATATTTTTTAATGATTTCCATCTTTTCCACTATTTGTTATGCCCAACATCCAAGTTTCTGTGCACATTTCATGCAAAAGGCCCCAAATGAATACGTCCCTGTCGATTTACTAACGCCAACACTTTTTTTATTTTTGTTTTCACTGCTTGTTGGCCCCTTTGACAACAAGAATGTCAACACAACAATGGCAAATCCACCACCAACGAACTCAGTAAAGGCGGCAAATCACTGAGATTCTGGCAGATTTTTTTTCGAATTCGTTGTTTGTTGTTATCAACATCATCGTCGTCTTCGTTGTTGTTGCTGTTGTAGTAATCGGATTGATGGGTTGTGATGACGAAATTTTATTCACTACCTTTCATAGCCTGGGCATGCCTTTGTTTACATTTTTGTTTTACTGTTGCTCTTGGATACAGGAGAGCAGGGAATTGAACCAAAAACAAATGAACATTTCATTGCATCAGAGGGGTTTCCAAGGAAAAGAAAAACGCAAGAAGGGATGAATTGAGTATTTTTTTTAAAGAAAGAGCTAGGTACCTGGCATTGATGCAAGGAGAGGTAGATAGATGTTGTTTAAATAAATTCTCTCTCTCTGAAAATACCTTTGACAAAGTGTAATGATGAAAAATGTTTTTCAATTGGGTGGGTATTTCACTAAAAAATAAATGAATTTAGTTATTTTTCAATTATTGTTTTTGTTTCTGTTAAATTCATTATCATTCATGGGAGATCAGAATAACAAACTTGTTTTGCAAAATAATCTATTTTTCGCCAGTCATTATCTCTAGTGGCAGTGTCACTGATTGAGTGTTACTAAGACGTTGTCAAATCGCGATTGAATTTTTACCAAGAGTTGCCTTCAAGTATCATCAGACCTTCTTCCCCCAATTTTGTCTAATCACAAAAACAAAGCCATGGAAATCTACGCTAAGATGCGTGGCAAATATCGACGATAACCATTCCGGGAAGAATTACCATAAACTAATTTAAACTGGTGGGAGCAACTTTGTACCTTTAAAGCGATTTGGACCTACTGATATTGTACGGAATCGGAATGATTGGAAAACTTAACAATTTGGGAAAAATACTGAGCGGTTGGATCTTAAAAAATTAAAATATATAGCAAAGTTTTAATAATCAAATAAAAACAGTACCCAGGCACAATTGAATCTCCTATAGAGGTTGCTTAAGGTGAGAGTACGTAAAAGGCTTTTTAGACTGGCTTCAGTCATCGGCTGGCTTCTTCGTATAGGATCAAAGGAGTATTAGGTCGCCTTAGTTGGATTTTGGTCCTGCGCTCCTTTGTTATACCCTCCACCATAGTATGGAGGGTATATTAAGTTTGTCATTCCGTTTCTAAAACCTCGAAATACACATTTTTGACCCCACTAAGTATATATATTCATGATCAGCATAAAATTCTATGTCGATTTAGCCATGTCCGTCTGTCGGAGGAAATCAGTCTAGCTTCAAAACGAAACGAAGTAGGCGGATAAAGTTTTACTCAAATGTATATTATGTCTGCAGGACGTTTGGTATTAAAAATGGCCCATGTAGGTCCACGTTTTGGTGCAGCCCCCATATAATGGTACCTCCCTATTTTCGGTATTTTGGTGAGTCAAGCGACATTATTCACCGGAATTGTTTCAAATTTGGTATTTGAAGTTCTCAATGTCAAACGGCTCAAACGTCATATATAATGGTACCTCCCGATATTCGGTACTTTGATGATTTTAGCGACATTATTCACCGGAATTGTCTCAAATTTGGTATTTGAAAAAATCAAATATAATATTTGAAGTTCGTAATGGATACTACAGCCTAAGAAAGAAAAATGTCTGTGCAGGTCCATGCTTTGTATAGCCCCCATTCTACCTCACCACCCGATATTCGGTATTTTGGTGATTTTAGCGACATTATTTGTTTCAAATTTGGTATTCGAAGTTCGTAATGGTTACTACAGTCTATGACAGGTAATATCCTGTGCAGGTGCACGTTTTTTTTATAGCCCCCATGTAATGGTACCTTCCTATTTTCGGTATTTTGGTGATTCAAGTGACATTATTCACCGGAATAGTTTAAAATTTGGTATTTGAATTTCGTAATGGATACTACAGCCTATGACAGATAATTGTCCGTACAGGTCCATGCCTTCGTATAGCTCCCATATAATGGTACTTCCCGATATTCGGTACTTTGTTGATTTTCGCGACTTTAGTCACCGGAATTGTTTCAAATTTGGTATTTGAAGTTCGAAATGGATACTACAGGCTAAGACAGAAAATTCTTTGTGCAGGTCCACGCCTTCGTATATCCCCATTCTACCGCAACTCCCGATATTGGGTATTTTGATGATTTAAGCGACATTCATCACCGGAATTGTCTCAAATTTGGTAATTAAAGTTCGTAATGGATACTACAGCCTAAGACAGAAAATTGTATATTCGGTATTTTCAATATTCACCGATTTTTTTCAAGTTTCGCATTTGAATATTGTAATGTGTTATGACAAAAGTTGCGTATGCATTTCTACGTCGTCGTATAGACCCTAATATAACAGCTACATTCGGTATTTTTAAGATTTTTAGCGGATTCTTTCTTTTTTTTTTTTGAAAAAAAAAATTGCCATATTCGTTCCATATGGTGGAGGGTATTCAAAGATCGGCCCGGTCGAACTTATAGCTTTTTTACCTGTTTTTTTTTTTCAAAGAAAGCCAGCCGATGACTTAAGCCAGTCAAACGCTTTTTATGTGTTTCCACCTTTAGCCAACCAAAAATAGTCTTTTATGTACTCTCACCTTTAGCATATCTATTTCTCTTGAAGAAAGGTGTTAAAGGCCCAGTAAATTCATTTCCTTCCTCTTCAACAAGTTTGACTGTGACTTAGTTCTTTTGAATTTGACCTACACCCCCTCAACAAGAAAAACTAGCCTAAGTCAATATTAAAAGAGGCACGTCGTTGTTTACTTTTTCATTGACACCTGTTGATACACAAAACACGGGCATGGCGCATTTCTGATATAATCAAATTAGGATGTAAAATGCGTG